TTATGTTATGGTCCACCAATAGAAAATGGATTCTATTATGACATGTACCTTGAAGAAGGGTGAGTTATGCAATGAATAAAGAAAGATGAAATCTGTTTTAAAGTTGATTTTTTTTTTGGTGGCTGGAAAGTACAGGGATCTGAACCTGTGACCTTAGTGTCATATGACTGCATTCTGACCAACTGAGCTAACTGGTCAGCCTTAAAAAATAAAATCTGAATGCTTGTGGGTCCATAAGTTATTTTTAAAGAGTTCTCAATGAAGTAGGAATGATATAAAGCTCATTGTTTCATAGTCACCAAATATTCCCATTATCAAAACTTGAAGCGTTGCAATTTACGTGAAGTAACAGAGACTGATGAGATCTCTGTTCTAGATCTATGGAGGTAGAGCCCTAAGGTATGTTGGGAAAGAGAATGAAACTGTCCTTCCCTCTCCTTTAGACCTAGGTATAGAATTAGGGGAAGGGAGTCACTGGTGGGAAAGGTCTCTATGATGACCAAGGTATAAGCCACTGAAAACTTAAAATATAAAAATTATTTATGTAAAAGGTTTAGTTTAAAATTCTAATGTATGATGCAAAGTTTATGGTAAAACCCTTGAAGTATTCCAAAACAACATTTCCCTAAGCCACCACATGATTAGAATGGAACAGAAAGAGATTGTATTTTCTTTTTCTTCAGGGGTGTGTCCAGCAATGATTTCTCTTCTTTGGAGGCTTTATGTAAGAAAATCATTAAAGAAAAGCAAGCTTTTGAAAGATTGGAAGTTAAGAAAGAAACTCTACTAGCAATGTTTAAGGTAAACTGAACCGTAATGTATTGCCTCCATTTTTATATCATTCATTAATTGAAGTTGTACCACTGGGGTTTAGTGTACTAAGTTGAAGCCTATTTTGTTTTTTAGGAAAATTTAACAATATTTTGAAAACATGAAATATTGGCATATTTGTATTCATACAATGTTCTTACAAGATGTACTTTGAATTTTATTTTAGCTATAGTGTTTAGAGGTAAAAATTAAAGAACAGTGAGTGAAGAAAAACAAACTATTCAGTTTCTCCTGCTGTGCTCTGACAACGCGCTTCTGACATGAGATGTATGGAGGTTTCTCCCCACACACTAAGTGAGCAGCAGACACTTCTGTTGGGTGTCCTCCAATTCAGTTCAATTTTGACACCATCTACCTGGAGATAGCATCAGATCTCACAAGTGAAGGGCCCAGTCCCCAAGACTACCCGCACTTCAGATGTCAGTTGCAAGTTCAGGCCTTGGAAACTTCTGACTGACTGGCTATAAATTGAGGTTCCCACGACCCCCTCTATGGGTTCATTTAATTTGCTGAGCAGCTCGCAGAACTCAGGGAAACACATACTTACATTTACCAGTTTATTATGAAGGATATTACAAAGGATGCAGATGAAGAGATGCTTAGGGCAAGGTATGGGGGAAGGGCACGCAGCTTCCATGCCCTCCCCAAGTGTACCCACACTTTAGGAACCTCCACATGTTCAGCTATCAGGAAGCTCTCTACACCTCGGCCTTTAGAGGTTTCTTATACGGAAGCTCCATTACATAGGCATGATTGATTAAATCTTTGGCCATTGGTAATCAACTTAATTTCCAGCCCCTCTCCCCTCCATGGAGGTTGGGGGTGAGACTGCCTTAGTCTTTCCTGTGACCAGCCTCCATCCTGAAGCTACACAGTTGCTGCCACCCATCAGTCAGCTCATTAGCATGTAAAGAGACAGCACTCTGGAGATTCTAAAGATTTTAGGAGTTGTCTGCCAGGAAAGGAACAAGGATGAAGAACAAATATACATTTCACAGTATCACAGAGAGTTTTTAAAAAAATCATTTTTTCTGTTTTCAGTATAACAAGTTCAAATGCCGAATATTGAATGAAAAAGTGAATACTCCTACTACTACAGTCTATAGGTGAGAATATCATGTCATTAAATGCATCTGGTGTGTATGTCATTTGTATGTCTTTGTTAAAATTTCTTTCATTTTGTCTTTAGGTGTGGCCCCTTGATAGATCTCTGCCGGGGTCCTCATGTCAGACACACCGGCAAAATTAAGACTTTAAAAATACACAAAGTAAGCAATATTAACTTTTAAAACTCTCTGTGTAAACATATTTGTCTAGTATAGATAAGTGTTTAAACTATCATTGGTTTCTTTTTTCTTGCATATGTAAGGATGATTTTTTTCTTTTGCTATCTACTAACTGGGTACTATATATCATCAGTCAGAGTCTCTCGAGTGACTGACTCCCTGTTCATCACTAGCGCAAGCACACAGGGATAGAGTTTTGAGGATTCACAAACTCATGCAGTTAGGGGCCATCATGGCTCTGAAAGTTTTGAGACTCACTGTAGGAGTATATGCTTTTGCCTTTTGTATGTGCAAGTTAACAATTACCCAAGTTGTTCTTTTTAATAAAATTAATCTTACCAGTTTTATCCTAATAAATATTTTATGGTGATTATTAGAGTATGTACTTTAAATCATGAAAACAATTTACTAACTTAATAATGAGAATAATTGACTCATTTCAAGATTTTTTTTGTTGGCTTATTTCCATTTGCTTGATTATTTTGTGAGAGGTGCCTCTGCAGTCAGAGTGATGT